TTTTTTTCTGGTTTAAAACCATCTTTAGTGCACAATTACAAAAAAAAAAAAAAACAAGTAAAACTTTGTATATTTACAATTTAATCAATTTAGGAAAAGTTTAGGTAGAGGGAAAATATAGTGAAATAGACAACGCTTCTGGCCACCCCCGTCCTGCGACGTCGTAGGACGCGGCGCTGTGACGTCACAATGCCACCGCGCCGCCTTGGTGCTCTCTTGTGCCCAGCTCCAGGGGAGCGCCGTCGCCGGGACTTCTGTACCTGACTGTTCCCACCCTCCAGGCAAGGGGACCCGAGGTCCCTTCTGAACGCTTGGCCAAGCGCTGCTGCGACGGGAGCTGACATTTCTGAAGCGATTCTGATAACACAGCGAAATTGGCGGAGGGAGCCAGACGCGAGCGACGCAGCCATCAGCCAGGGAGTCGGCCTCCGTCCGGGGATCTTAGAAACCCTGCGGGTCATCATGAAGTTCCAGTACAAGGAGGACCATCCTTTTGAGTATCGGAAAAAGGAAGGAGAAAAGATCCGGAAGAAATACCCGGACAGGGTCCCGGTGAGCGCAATGGGACCGGGGCGGGGGCGTCGCGATGGCTGCCCTAAGGCGCTGAAGGGTCTCGGTAGAAGGGAGGCCCCTAGGATTGCTTAACCCTGAACGCCCTTCACTACAGCGAGAGCCAGTGGCCGTTCAGACCGAGGACCTCTTTAAACCCGTTCCCCCTGAGCCGGTCCCCATCTTTGGAGCTGACCGCATCTTGAGAGCGGAGCCTCCGTCGAGTGACTCAGCAATATTCAGAACGTGTGTAGGTCGAGATGCGCACAAAATAGGGCGCATTTGTGCGACAGGCATTGGGTCGGGGCCATAGATTTGCTGCCTTTACAAACGCAGGGAGCTTGTGATGGGGACGTGTGATGCCGTAGGTTTGCTCCCGTAGACTTCTGCCTTCGCGGGCTCGCCTTGGTTCAGAAGCCAGCAGATTCTTTCTTGTATTCTTTCCGAATTAGGAAGCGGGGTGGGGGACGGGGGCGGCACAGACAGGCCTGGCCCAGAAAACAAGGTCACGCTCTCTGCGCAGCAGCCCGCTTGCCTCATCATTCTTGGCTCCGGGGTCAAGTGCAGGGACAAGTGCGGGGACAGTCGGCCTTCCCCGGTACTGATTCTGATCGGTTGGTTCCTGGACACAACCAGGCAGCACTGAGGCCTTGTTCTCTCTGGTTTGGACCCCGGCTTAAGTAGTTAAAACTAGGGCAGGCCGTGAGGAGGGACGGGGAGAAAGCGTGTGTCTGTCCGCATCCGGGCGTTTCTCTCACTGCCCCTCCCCCGCCCGCTGCCCGCTCCCCTCTCCCCTGTAATGCAGGCTCTGCACCCCAAGCGGGAGGCGGGTTTTGGAGTGTGGTAGAGGGGACAACAATGCTTGGATATTGGAGGTTTAGGAGCAGAACCTTTACCGTTGTGCTCTTTATGTTCAGGCAGGGACGTTACGGTAAGTACTACATGTAATTTAAAGGTAAAAGAATTGCAATTTTCTGCTGTCTTTTCTCGAACGACAGGTAATCTTTGGGATTCTTCTCCAATCCTTACCTTTCGTGGTCTTATAGCTACCAGAAGGAACCTCGGCCCTAGCCCAGCAGTTGAAACCCCTAGCACCCG